GTGGCTCTCCTCATCTACTTCAAAGTTCAGACAACGGACAAACCATTTATATACACTAGAGCAACTATCGTTATCTCCTCTATCACATCATCATCATCATCAAAGTATAATCTCATGATTTCATATTTTTACATTTTCATTTGGTATGAGTTCTAGAATTTATCTCATGATTTGTATGACTTCGAATATAAATTTCTTTTTCTAGGCATGAATTTATTCTAGGTAATTCTGCACAATTGGGCACTATTTTTGCATCTTCGGAAAATGTTTTCGGCAAAAAACAACACTTTGTTCCTGAATATTTCGGCAGGTTATATTTGAGATTATTTTAGCATTTTCTGCATATTTGGGTGCCCATCTTTGCATTTCTTCATAGTATAATAATTTTTCGTTAATTATTCCAAAATGTTACAAAATAAGAAAAGTGAATCGACGATTAACGTTCTTCACTTGTTCTTTACAAAAGGGTAAATTGGTTATTTGACATTATTCACTTCTCATTCAGCACACAAAGTAAACAGTCCGTTATCACAATGTCACTTAATCCATATAGACATCTTAATCCAAATAGGACTTAATGAAATAAAAAGTAAACAACCCCTAAGCCTTTCTGTTTTGTTTTTTTCTTTCGTTTCTTTGTTTCGTTCCTTTCCCTGCTCCTCTCTTTTACGTTTTTGCTTACGTTTTGTTTCTCTTTTACGTTTTTTTTCTTTGCTATTCTCTTTTGTTTCTTTCGTTCTTAAATTGCTCTCCGTAGGAGCAAATCAAAGGGTTTTTACAAAATTAGGATTCATCACCAGTTTTTCCTTGCGTAGGATCTATGTAGCACCATTTTAGAAAACTGTATTTTTGTCTTCCATTTTTACCCCTCCCTTTACATTAGCATATTTAAAAAAAAAACGAAGTACACAACCTCTGCTATATCTCTCGGCCACACCACAGAGCACCACCCTGTACAATGACGCCGCCCACCGCCGCCCACCACCGCCGTTTTGTCCGGCAAGACTGCTCCATCTCTGGTTAACAACCTTCTCCGGCGAGATTGGAGTCTACCAAGCTCCGATTTCATTATTAGATATAGTAAATTGTGTATATATTGTTTTATGTGACCTGCTCTGCAATTGAACTATTATCACAACTAATTGTCTGTTTAATGACTACTTACTGTCTATGTATTGCCTGCTATTGAACTATTATTAGAACTTATTGTCTGTTTACTGACTACTTAATGTCTATGTATTGTCTAGGGTTTGCAAATTTGATTTTGGATCTGGTTACTTTACGTTTTGCAGAGTACCTGGTGGTCTTTTGAAAAAATCAAAATAGAACTTCGAAATTAGCAAAATCAATGTCCAAAATCAGAAAAGAAGAAGAAGAAGAAGAAGAAGAAGAAGAAGAGGATGAGGAGGAGGAGGAGGAGGAAGAAGAAGAATAAACCTCTGGTGGTGGCGTTCTATGAAATCAACCGGAGAAAGATGAATTCGAAACTGATGGATCTGGTGCGGTTTTTGAAGTGTAATCTCTGAGGCGATTTTTGAAAGCTTCGTCCTCTAGGCAGAGCAGGGCAACGCCGCGCCGACTGTCATGTATGCCGCCGGCAAGTAAGGGTGACTCAAGGGAGAGCCTCCAAGCAACAAAGATGCAGGACGGCAAAGCAAGATCCGATGATTTTGTAGCGGCATGTTTCAATAGGCATTTGTTATCTGCCTATCTAATTAAAAATCAGGGATATAATGGTCAAAGTAGGCACGGTTTAGTCTTATGCTAATTCTTAGTCTTAGTTTTAGAAATTTAGTATGATTAAGTCCTATTTGTTGAAATCTCCCTTCTTTTCTTTACTTCTTTTCTTGCTTTTACTGGTTTCTTTCTTTGTTTTTTCTTAAAAAATTTATACTTTAATTTTATTCAATTATAAAATATTTTAGTTATTAATGTTTGTTGTTCTATTTTTTATTTTAATACTCATTACAAATTGTTTGATGCTCAATGAACATGTCCTGATGCTCACTCAACTAAAAAATTATGATTTTCATACTAATGCTCATTTTATAATTTACGAATGCTCAACCGATACTCAATTGCACGCTTCTAATATCCAATAAATGATGTTTAATGCTCAATGAAAAATGTCTTGATCCTCAACTAACAAAGCTTATTATTTTCATACTAATGCTTATTTTGTAAGCTACATAGGCTCAACCGGTACTGATTTTATGCTCATTTTTAAAATGTCATATCAATGCATATTTCAAAAGTATCATATACATTAGATTCACGTAGTGAACTTCATAGGAATTAATTGTAGATATGATTTAAAAAGTTTCAATAAAAGAAAAAAATATGAATTAGAAGATATGAAGCAGAGATTACAATGCTCAATATTAGACTCCTAATAATCAACAGAATAGGTCTAGTGCTAATTAAAAGTTCACTAATGCTCATTTAACATAAAACGTTATTTTCATCTCAATATATGAGGTTTGATACTCAATGAAAATGTCCTGATGTCCAACTAACAAACCTTACAATTTTCATTTTTATGTGCTTTTTGAAAGTTGTGTATACTCATTTGATACTGATATTATGTTCATTTTTAAAATGACATATCAATGCATATTTCAAAAGTACCATACTACATTAAATTCACACACTGAAGTTTATATAAGTTGATTATGGATATAATTTATAAGAAAAAGAAAGTGAATTACAGAAATTGATATCACAATACTCATTATTCGACTCGTAATACTCAATAAAATACGTCTGGTGCTCCTTAACAGTGTATTAATGCTCATCTAATGAAAACCGCGATTTTCACTGAAATTATGAAAATGGCACCGGTTTTTAATTGTGATATGAGCTTTCTTGTAATAACATGGTCTCATTATTAGATTCTTAATACTCATTAAATTTGGAATATTGCTCATTAACAATGCTCAGTTAGCAGAAACCGCGATTTTCTTATTATATTACAAAAATGCCACCGTCTGTACGGTGCTCACCGTACAGCCGGTTGTACGGTGGACGGACTCAACATTTTGTATTGCATGTGGGATAGAAAAAAACAACCCTAGACGTATGTAGTGCGGAAACTTTCGGGAAAGACCGAAAGAGTATGTTTCCCGTTTCGGAAACTCTCGGAAACTATTTGGAAACTCTCGAATTAAACATTTTTTGAGCAAAAGTTGATGTTTCCTGTTCCACGTTTCCTCCTGATTTTCGCGTTGTGCAACATAGCCCTAGACTGCACTCGGAAACGCGACCCATCCAAAAACCGAATCGAAACCTGAAACCGAACCTTGACCAGACCGGGAAATGTGACCGATCCAGAACCCGAACGTTCTTGTTTTTCGGACAAGAAATACGAAGTATACTTTAGGGGCCGTTTGGAGTCCTGATTTTGGGCTAAAAAGCCTGAAAATACAAAATTAAAGCCAGCCAAAAAAGTAACCATGGAGCTACTTTTTGAGCTGAAAGTTATCAATATATCCGTTGCCAACCTAAAGTACATGTTTACCCTTTTATAATGGCATCTTCTTTACTTGGCCTAGCGACGAGAACCTCCGCGGCTGCACATACTTTTGTCCAGATCTAAAGGTTGACCTGGCCTCTATCTTCTTCCTCAATTGTTGCGGCCCTCAATTCTTGCTTCCGAAGATGAGCAGGACCGGGGCGAAAAGGACAGTGAGATTCAACCCCGTTGGCGTCATCCTCGGCGATGAACACGTATACGACGGCGGTGAATCTCTGTCCCCGGGATTTCAAGAAACCGACTGTGAAGGAGGAAATTACTGAAACTCTGCGCGTCCCCTTAGACTCTTGTCATTCGAAGGATACTGATTTATTAAATTACTCTGAATTTAATTATGAGGTTTTGTAGTTTCAGTAATTTCTAGCATAAATTACTTTGAATTGCTTGGTGATGGAAGTTATTTAAATTCCCTTTGATCAAGGTGTCTACTATTACTGCCTAGGAGAATGGTTGCAGAGTATTTTTTTAAATGGATAAGATGCGATTGTGTGAGCTTGAGAAGATATATCACCCTGATTCGATGATAACCTTGTTAAATTCATAGAAATTAGGGCTGGGACATTGGAATCAAGAACCGGAGAACCGAACCGGACCGAACCGTTATGACCCGGTTCGGCTCGGTTCCTACATTTATTAGTTATTTGTTAACGGTTCGGTTCTTATTTTTTTATTAACGGTTCGGTTCTCGGTTCCTGAAAAAAACATGTACCAGGAACCGTTAAGGAACCGTGATATATAATAATTAAAATTATACGATAGTATATATTTCTTACGAGAATATATATATATATATATATATATATTAATGTATTTTTACTTATTTATTTTTATATTACATTCATCATTGTAGTTTAGTTATTTAACTATTCAAAACTATTATTCACTTTAACGGGTTCTCTTAGGCTTCTTAGGCCTCACATTCGGCCCAAGCTCCAACGGATCAGAACTCGAAAGGTCCAAACTATTTAAAATTATTATTCTCTTTTGTCAGTTCAACATATTTGTATTGTAATTTCAAACGTTGAATGTCGTTTTGAAAAAATTGTATGTAAGATATTTTTCAAAAACTAGGAATCGTTAAATGACAAGAACCGAACCGTTAAGAACGGTTCGGTTCCTTATCGGTTCTATAAAATAATTTATAAGAACCGAACCGTTAGTAAAAATTCATATTTTCCAACGGTTCCACATATTTTGTCTAGGAACCGAACCGGTCCCAGGCCTAACAGAAATGCTTTAAAGTTAAAACACACCCTGAAGCAGATAATCTAATACGGTCCCTATCACCCCGAAGTATAGTTACATATAGGTATTAAGATCATGTTTATCACTCTTCAAAAGTGCACACCATATCTTTAATAAAATACCCTTAATAGTAATTTTAGGTTCAATCAGTCATTTCAGCCAACATATTACAAACATTTTTCAAGACTTTTCGGCCCTTTCATCCGATCCAGCTGGTTCCAAACGGCCCCTTAGTTGGACCAACTTTCAATAAAAGGATCAGGACTTTCTCGCACTTCGCCTGCGGATTTACCAGAGCCAGATTTTGCCAAACCAGTCGTGAGTTCAGAAGTTCCTCCGGCAAGTGACGACGGCGCCATGAAGCTCAGACTCAGATCTTCCGTCACCAAAGAAACCATACGGATCGACGTCCCTCCTTCTTCCACCCTGCTGGAACTCAAACACCGACTTTCTCAGGCACTCCCCGCATCATCAGCCGTTTCCTCGTCGTCTTCTGCAGATTACATTCGCCTGTCGCTCAACAATAAAGACGAGCTTCAAAGTTCTTCACCCGATGACACTCTCCCGATGCTAGGTATTGCTTCGGGTGACCTAATCTTCTTCACCACAACTCCCAATCCTCAAGGATCATCAAAATCCCCAACTTCCTCCGTCCCAGGTTCTAATTTCCCGGTCGATTCTCCTGAGAAACCAGATTCCGTCAAGCAGAACGAGATAGAATCAAATTCGAGTTCTGATTTGCAGGTAGAATCGTCCATCGAGAACGAGAAAGCCCTAGAGTCCCTTCACCCTGGAAAACGAGAAGAGGGAGAATTCATGGAAGTGGAATGGGAAGAAAAAGACTCGAGTTCAATTGAAGTTGCGGCTGGGAAATCGTTTTCAATTCCTGGATTCTTGAAAAAAGTTTTCACGGAAGAGTTGAGAAACGACGACGATGGTAGTAAAGATCACAAACTTTTAATGGTTGCTGTTCATGCTGTTCTTCTTGAGTCTGGTTTTATTCGTTTTGACCCAATTCTACATAAAAAGATTATTGGACTTCAATCACCAAACCAAAGAGGTACTGATCTCTGTTACACGCTGCTTGACATTGTTGATGACCAGAAAAGTAATAGTTATACCATTCCCAATATGAAGCTCAACCTTCAGACCTTAGGGAAGCTTGTGATCATTTATGGCTCACTATCATCTGGCAGATCCTCTATACATCATGTGGAGCTGAACGAAGGAGACCTGGTCCCACTCTTGAATGTTGCATGGTCTCACTGTGGGCTATCTGAGGAAATAATTCCTCCAGGTAAAGATGGCCTTTTATGGACATCACCAGAGAAAGGGATTTTCCAGTTCTGGAGGACTGTTAAAGACAGGCTTGCATTGCCATTGTTGATTGATATGTGTGAGGTGGCTGGTTTAGGACTTCCTCCATGCTTTATGAGACTCCCCACTGAACTTAAGTTGAGCATCTTGGAGTTGCTGCCTGGCGTTGATTTGGGTAAGATGAGTTGTGTCTCCTCAGAGTTAAACTACTTGATTTCAAATGAAGAACTATGGGAAAAGAAGTTTGTGAGTGAATTTGGTACTTGGGATTTTTCTCTTAAAATTCAAGATTGGAAGCGTAAGTTTAAGCTGGCTTTGGGACTCCAAAAGTCCAAGAGAGTGAGTACTGAATGGCTCAGAAATAGAAGAAGATCTTCCGGATATACAGGTCCATTTATTCCTCCACGGCAGCCGATAGATATTGGAGGTTATAATCCGTTGCTTCCACCACCATTTGGGAATATCCATTATGTTGATAACAATATTCTCCCTCCTAGTCGTCGGGGTAGCCATGTGCCTCGTTGTGATCCTAGATAGCATTTGGAACTCATGATTTTCTGCTTAGTCAAAAGAATCTTTTCTTGTTCAAGTTGGAGTTGATATGTTGTTACTAGAATATATGATGGCACATCAATACTTGCTCTCTTTGGTATTATCATACGGGCTCATATGTTGCTATTATTTTGATGCATTGTACTATGGAAGTTTTGTATAAAAATCCTTGTTTTCATATCAATATTTGGTTTTTGGACACAATGTAAGTAGCTACATATTTGTGCATTGATGCCTTCTTCTTGGATAAGGCATAATGAGATGTACTTGCTGAACAATATCTATATATTATTAAGTCAATTAAGTCATTCTCCCGCCTAACCTTTTAGGATATTCTAGTAAATTTACTTATCCCTTCATCAACCCTAAAATTAATACTTAATACTCCCTCCGTCCCAGAAAATTCTTCCAAGTTTGACTTGGATCGGAGTTTAAGAAAGTGGGAATAAAGTGGAAATGTGTGGTTGTAGTTGTGTAAGAAAAAGGTGAAATGAATGTGAGCCACACAAATAATCAAAAAGGTGAAGTTGGAAGAATTTTATGGGACGTCCCAAAAAGGAAAGTTGGAAGAATTTTCTGGGACGGAGGGAGTATTAAAACACCTCTATATTGTATATGTAAGATATCTAATACACAATGGGATGAGCTCCACTACAACTACATAATTATACTTTTGTGGTAAATCACATTCTTTGTCACCATAGAAGGTATTCTTTTTATGAAGGTTTTATTTCCAGGTTTTGTATAACACAATGGGACACCCTTATCTCTCATATTTGTACCTTGCTTAAGCCTTTGAATCTTAAGGTGTGAAAGATTTCCAGTTTCTAACTGTCACACATTAAATATCAAAGAAGGCTTTGTTTTAAATCCTTAGAAGAAATATCTAAAGAATTACCGGAAGACTTTATAAGAAGGCTCATATTTGGATATTTCATATTAAATATCTCATATTTGTACCTTGAATCCTTTTTATTTCATGTATGGATGTTTCATGTGTTAATTTGGATGTCAGAAGAAGTTTCATGATGGAGATGCATAACATCTGTGATTTTTGTTATTTAGTTAGTTTGAATCTTCTTCATTAAATTACTCTGAAGGTATTCTTTGTCACCTTGAATGAAAAAGTTTAAGATTTGCTATCTAAAAATGTCCTATATTGATTTTAGTTCCAGTGTGAAGTTTTTGAATTTCCTCATTATTATAATTTGAGTAGTTTTGAAACGCATATATTTAGTTCCAGTATATGCCTTCTTTTACGAGTTCAGGTATGAACTATGAAGTTCATATTTTCATTGTTTCTCTTGGTTAATTAATTTGATTTTAATTGGCTGCAAAGTATTTCAGAAAGATTAGCTATGGAAACATTTAAGAATAACCAACTGGGCATGTTTGTTTACATAGAATGTTTCCAGATGCAAGATATCTTACTACATACAATATGTTTAGTAAAATATGTTAACTACAGGCTACTTGCTGTATTAAAGTTGTTCATACTAGCATACCTTATTAAGGAATAGTTACACAAATTAAAACTGCAGTAATAATGGATGAGCTATTAAGTTGTGTAACTAAGTTTAAGACTTTAGTTGTGATAGTTTTCTTTAATGTAGATGAAAATGAGTTAGGAATTCTCCATCTGCATTAATCATTAAGTGCAGGTTGAATTTGTGCACAGATGGAAATCCATTATTCAAATTGGGATTTTAGAATTCTCTATTATATCAATTACTAATACTCCTAAATTCCTTTCCAATATGATTTTAGTTTTTTTTTTGCTGAATCATTGACTAATATTGTTTGAACCTTTAAAACAGTTTGAATAAGAGGGCCTATAAAGAATAAGTACACTCTTACAATTAGACCAATAAGCAACAATGCGATATCTAAGCCATATCAAATCTGTAAAAATGAGAAAACGAGGCATCTATAATGAATCTGCTTTGTTAATTCAAGAACATATCTGTAGTGAATTGCTATGCTCATTAAAGAACATATCTGCAATCAAACTGCTATGTTCATTAAAGAACATATTTACAATCAAACTGCTATGTTCATTTAAGAACATATTTGTAATCAAACTGCTGTGTTCGACTAAACAAGATTACAGCTACCATCCTACTACCCATATTTGAATTCTTGAGACACAGTTGTGATAGTTTTAGTTGAATCTTTAATATTTTTGTATTAGATGGACTTCTATATGCATCTGAGATATTTTGAGCTGGTTTAATGATATAAAGTTAATACCTAGCTGAAAAATGAGAAACCAGGCAGCTTCTTTGTTTCCAAATTCAGTTCTCAATCAATTCCTTTGCTAAGTTCAGTAAGCTTTAAGTTATGTTTATGTAAGTAAAGCAAATATTGGTTTGACAATTCTCACTATTTCAATATTTTTTATCAACATCGTACTAATAGGACTGCAGTTTGCATCTTAGAAGTTCCTGCTTTATTTTATTGCCAAGTTTTTTTATTTTAATCAAACATTATAAGTTTAATGTTAATATCACCTCTAAACACAATATATACACATGTTATTATATACTCCATAACTCTCAGCACCATTTAGATCTTTAATTTTTTTTAATCAAACCTGGTTTGGATAGTTTGGTTTGTTTTTTATATTTAAACTTTCTTCAGATAAAAGTATTTGATTTAATTTTTATATCCCATGCCTTAAAATTAAGAAATGTGATTGCCAATTAGACTGCATATAAATTAATGTGCAAAGGCTATTCTTTTGTCATTAATTTGTTGTGTTACGTATTTTATTTGGGTCATGTATTCAAAGTTTTAAACAACCATTAAGGGGACAATTTTTTTTGCATGTTCTGAACTTTAGATTACTTTAAATAACACTTGGGGAATTTCATGATTCCGTATATCTTTTTTTCAAAATTTATGAAAATCCATATTGTTAAACTGTGCCGTCCGGGGATATATTTAGGAAATTTAAATGCTCAGAACGGTTTCCTTTGTTTTCCTTGACAGCAAAAAGCTAAAGATTAAGTATTCTTGCTCACCATCAAAGGATCAGTGCCTAGAGTTTGATGTAGAAGCAATCTGCGATATGAGCATCTCAGGCGTGAGACCTGAAATTCAAATTTTTTGATGGACCAGGGTTGCTACATTGTTGTCAATTACTTAGAAGTATTATTTACTCATTTAGTAGTTAGAATTTAGTGTGGATGTCTATTTGTATGAACGATGAGGCTGACTTTACACTTATACACTTGGTGCAGATAGTCAAGATGTCCCAGCTGTCCAGGTGCCATTGACCGCGTCGAAATGTCCCAACCTTCCAGGTTCTTCAAAATCACAGGCAAGTGGTAGCCTTGATGAAGATGCATCATCAGTGTTAGTGTTTGCTGTGGAACTTTATAGCCCGTCAGGGGGGAGTTTTTTTTGGCTAATCTAGTGAACTTTATGAATGGTAAAGCATTTACCAACCCTACTTTTCATGTTGATCTAAAGTGATTTGCGTAAGTACCTAACACCTGTGTTGGTACCACTATAGACTCGGGAATTCAAGAGAGAAAAGTTAGTGTCCTGCTAGGATACTAGGACCGACAAGGCACTTAAACTAAACTCTCCCATGATCACAATATGTTATCTCAGGAAAAAAACAAGGCTTCAAAAGCTACATCTTACAGTTTTTTTTGTTGTTGTTTAATTTTAGTCCTTGAGATGTTTGAAAGTTAGAACACTCAAAAGCTACATCTTACATATTTTTCTGTTTTCCATATACTGCACATGCATCAGTTTCATGGAGTATGGTGCTTTTACCAAAGTAGTTTTTCCTTCTTAGTATTTTGTCCAATTAGTTTTTTAGAAATCTATTTTTAAAGATAATCTAGAGGCTAGAGCAATGCTGACTTCTGTAATGGGAGATTAACAAAGAAACATCTGTAACAATAAAGCTGCTTTTTGTTGAAGTTGATTTTGTTGTTCGATGCCTTATTCCAACTTCTTTTTCTGCCTGTTGCATATACATCAAAAGCTTCGAGATAGGCTTCTTCAGTACGCTGTACCATTTATTATGGTGCAGTGTACCATAAACATATACATTTTACCAAGTATAAATATGATAAATATAGTATTAATTTATACCAAATTAAAGTAGTTTTCAGTTTTAGTTTTTTTTTTACAATTAGTTTTTCAGAAATCTTTTTTTAAAGATTGTCTATAGCAATCCTGACTTCTGTAATGGGAGATTAGCAAAGAGAAATCTGGAATTTTGCATTTTACACTTTACTCAATGAAGCTTCTATGTGAATAAGGTACTATGACCTCACTATATTGGTACACTTTTATCATTCTTTAAAATCAGCATTTCACACTTTACATTTTCCCTCAAGCTAAGATTTTGACATCTTTACTAGACAACCCCATAGGCCCATACTTTAATACTATTATCCAAGGCAACTTCAACTCTGAATATGTAAATGAACTAAACTATAATATAATCATTGAGTTTTGTTTTTTAAATTGGGTAAGATGAGAGAGCCTATAACACACTTTGTTGTAGAGGTAGTATTTCCAAGGTAATGGTGCTTATTTTGTTACTCCACTAATAATGAAATGCATTTTGTTTTTTAAATTCAGGTATCCAAGTGTTCCTGGATGCCAAAGTCAATGCAATCCATATGTTCTGGATGGCAGACTCTTAAGTCTCAGGGTCAAGTTTTATCCAGTCTGCAATTTGGTGTACCCATGATCCAGTCTGCAATAAAAGTTGGGGGCATGGCCCCCTTAGATATATACATACCTCCGCCCCCTGACGGTTCCACACACAATTCACCCACACAGTGTGGGTTATCTGAGGAAATAATTCCCCCTGGTAAAGCCTAAAGACAACTTTTTATGGATGTCACCAGGGAAAGAGATTTTCAAACTGGATTACATTGTTTGAGGTGGCTGATTTTGGACTTCCCCCATGCTTTATGAGACTTCCCAGACTCCCGACCGAACTCAAGTTAAGCTTCTTCGAGTTACTGCCCGGTGTTGATTTGGGAAAGATGAGTTGTGCATCTTCAGAGTTAAACTACTTGAGTTCAAATGAAGAACATTGGGCAAATGATCGAATTTGGGAATCCTAATGTTTCTTTTAGAATTCTAAGATTGAAAGCAAAAGTTTGAGCTAGGTGCTAGCTATGAAACACAAACAGTCCAGGAGAGTGAGTATTGAATGTCTCCGAAACAGAAGAAGGCTTACTCCACAGTTTATTCCTCCGCGGCAGCCGATAGGCCGGTATTGGAGGCTATAATTCATTGCTGCTGCACAGCACCACCATTTGAGAATATCCATTATGTTTATAAAATATTCGCATCTGGAACCTGCTATGTTATGGTCACAAGTCAAATAAACTTTTTCTTCTTCAAGTTTGAGTTACTTTGTTATTAGAATACATCAATACTTGCTCTCTTTGGGATTATCTTAAGGGTGCATCAAATAAGACTATTCCAAAGTGCATTAGATAGGGGTTATTATGCATTAGATCGACAGTTTGACGGCTGAGATTAAGATGTCTTCTCATTTGAACTCATCCTTATCTAAATAAATGTTATATGTATCACAATGATGTTTAAAAGAGATTAAGCATTGTTTAGCCAAGGTGATTAGACTTTATGAAGTTAACTATATGAATATGCATGTAAAAGGTATGAAGTGTATTTAAAAACATATATGATGTTTTGAATGACCAAAATGATGTATATTGATTGTTTATGACTTAATACATATTGTGCATAAGTTTCGTAGCGATCATATCAGAGTCGGTTCGGGCGGTCAATAAAGTCTTGACCAGTGCCAAACAGTGGACTGATGCCGGTTTGGCCACTGCCATGCCACAGTTCATGAAAAATGTTGGTGAATCGGCGTCGGTCAAGCAGTGAACCGGCGCAGGTTTGGTCTCGGGTTCTAGGGCCGTTTTTTTTTTGTTTTTTTTTTATAAAAATGCAATTTGGGGCAAGTTCAAGGTAGAACCAATCAGTCTATATATGTATATTTTGCATAGAAATGCATGAAATTTGATGTTTAAATGTTAAGACTTGGATTAGTCGTTAGTAATGTTATGACATAGACCTTATCTAAGTATGATATGTGGTAGATATGGTGGAGTACTCAAGGACGAGATTGTCCTCAAAACTCGTAATATAATTGGTGGAGTACCCGGGAAATGACTGGATTGTCCTCAAAACTCGAAATATAATTGGTGGATAACCAAGGGACTGGATTGACCTCAAAACTTGGAATATATTTGGTGCAGTACCCTAGGACGGGATTGTCCTCAAAACTCGGTATATAATTGATGGAGTACCCAGGGACATGATTAGTCCTCAAAATTCAAATACTACAATTTAATATTTCAGGATCAGGCGATGTCCTTAAAATATTTGAGTGGACAAGGAGGAGTCCTATACAGTCATAGGTAATTGTGTGGGTTGAGAATTTAAATCTAGGACTATGACTACTATAATTTTTTCCCAAATAAACAATGACATACGGGTCAGGTATTTTCCAAGTGTATATACTTATACGTATTTCAAGACGGGGGGGGGGGGGGGGGGTAAGTGTGTGTATCACCCTATGTTTGAGTCTTATACTTGAAACATTAGTTATTCTACATTTAGTTTGCTTATCACCAGTACGAGTGTACTGACCCCTTCGGGGACACTCACCATTTTCCAGTTGAAGCTAGAGCTTGATATCTGCACTTTTGCACGAGTGAAGTAATCTCAAGGAAGACGTGATTCTTACTGTCTTATCGATTTCAAATTATAATAAACATTGCTCAGAATATTTGAATTACTATAAACTGTTTTGGGCCTGCGAGCCCATGTTTCGGCCGATGTGGCCCATGATTATATGATGAATATTTCCACTATTCATTTATTTCAAATGTGTTGTTATTATGTATGTTTACTTACTGAGTATGGTATTGATGGAGTGTATGGCCCAGGAACCCCCAGCCCATAGACTCTTACTTCTCCTACAGGCCCATTGAGCCAAAGGAGCATTCGAGGCCCAAATACAACGGCCCAAGTCTCAAAGAAGCCCAAAATACACACTGGGGTGCCTTCGGCCTCCTTGGCCAAAGGCTCCAGAAGGCACAGGGCAGTCGGGTTTGAGCGAACAAAGCTGCTGGAAGAAAACAGCGTAAAACGGTAGCCCTCGGCTACCAGGAGCCTTCGGCACACATGGCGCCCTCGACATCAGGGGAGCCTTCGGCTATACGGCGTGTCCCCAACTACACAGAACCCTCAGCCGAAGGGAGAGCCTTCGGCCAACGACTCAATCATCGAAGATTCCCTTTGGAGACAAGCAACCACCGCATTTAATGCGACGTCACATCCACCCACCGCATTCAATGCGGTGCACATGCGTTTGCCAGTGCCACCCGATTGAGGTGACCCTTCGGCCGTTAGATTATCGCCATGTGTACTCTCATCGCATTTATTGCTGCTATAAATAGCAGCCCCTTTCACCATTGTAAAGGATCAGAACATCTCGAGTTCATTAATGAAATCGCCTCTCTCTCCTACTTGTTTGCTCTGACTTCTCTCTAAGTTATTCCCGTAATAACCCCTCGGATAAGCTACCCCCGGGTACACTGTCCATCAGGTATGACCTATGTTACGATTATGTGAGGTTGACATGCGGGTGACGTCACTTGATCGTGCGACAATTGTATATGTGCTTAAATGTGGTTTGGGGCGTGACATCTTTTCTTTTCCTTTTTCTTTTACACTGTCTATCCCCCCTCCATATTTAACTCCCTCCGCCCATTTTAGCCTACCAGTACATGATTTAGGAGTTCAAAAATTTCATCTTTAACATTTTGGACTTCTAATACTACACCATTCCAAATGATCTCATGTTTTTACTTTGGGGACCATGGCTCTCCCGGTCTCTATTAAGGCCCGCCTCTAAAAAAATGAAACACACGCTTTTGACTCACTGCTTAAATGAGGGGAAAATGGGAAATCAAATCTCACAAAACTCATTTAGGTAAGTGTCCGAGCTCGACTAGAGAATTACGTAGTACTCCATCCGTCGCGCAAAATAGTTCCCAGTTTTCTTTTTGGGCCGTCCCAAAATATAGTTCTTATTTCACTTTTTGGAATGTTTTGTGTGACTCACATTCATTTATTTTTTTCTTACTCAACAACAATCATACATTTCCACTTTATTCTCACTTTCTTTTGGACTGAAATTTGCTGGTCTGGTCTGGTCTGGTCTGAACTGGTCTGGTCTGGTAAACGTCTGGTCTCTGTGTATTTTATAACTACGGAAGTCAAGTCAAGTCTGATCTGGTCTGATCTGGTAATGTCTGGTATGAGACTGAAAACAGTCCAAAGGAAAACATCTCAATACGTAAGATTTACTTCCTCCAATCCTTTAAATTTGGTCAAGTAAGATTATCATTTAAGTAAAAATATTGTGGTTGAGCTTTGTATACATTAGAAAAAAAATAACCGAAATTCCATATTAATCGATCCAAAGAAGCTGAGTTAGCTGACTACAGACTGAACTTATCTCATGGCGGCAAAACTGATATTGTACTCAGAATCCCACTCTTCACCCTGTAAAATCCTCTCTACTAACCGCTTCAATCTTCTACCCCGCATAGCCATTCTCCATCTTCCTCTCCAAGGAACCCGTTCTCCCATCCTTCGAGCTTCCAGAGCTTTTTCCTCTCCATATCGGAGTCCACGTCGCGGCGGCCAGCCAGATATAGTAACAGGTGACTATGACGTTGACGAGGATGACGATGATGAGGATGAAGAAGAAGAAGAAGATCGAAGTTTAGATCTTTTGGTAAAACTCGTTCAGAATGTTTTCAGAAACGTCTCGAGGAAAGCTAGGAAAGCCGTTCGATCTGTTTTGCCGGTCTCCTTTCCTAGCCAATTGGTAAGTTTCTTGTTTTCTGCATTGGGTTCACTTTAATTACCTATACATGTAATTTGAATAGCTTACATAGATTTTGTTTGGATAATAAATGAATTCATCTGTAAAGGTATAAGGATTCAAATCCACCTACCAAATTGACTTATTCATTCCAATTATTAATATGGTTCCATAGACCTTAGTCAATTAACTCAAACAAACGAGGACATTAATTTGAAGATTAATCTATGTCACCCACCAAATATTAAGATAGAAGAATGCAGAGAATAAATCATGCTTACATTTCCTTGATTTTGAAGAGTTTGCCATGGATGGATTTTGATCTTCTACAGAAGTTGCTAGTACGTAGATTTTGAGTTTGGGCCTGGATCATTATAATTTGTTCTATCTGGTCAATCTCAAAATAACACGGATAGTTGTTAGTTGGTGCAATATGGTGAAATGAATGAGGGTGATGTTCCATTGTTGTAAGATTCAAATCTAGATGATGATGATGATGATGATGATGAGTGTGATAATGGATGACGATTATATCATAATCATCATACACAAACAAGTTGACATATTTTGGAAGAAATGATGTTTTTGGATATTTAGTTGTTTTTGAAACTACTTTGAACGATTTTAACTTCATATGTTTTTATTGGAATGCGGGTATTCAACTTTTTCGCTCATTTTTTGGTGGTTGAATTGTAGACTTATAGTGTCTTTAGTTCATATTAATAGTATTTTATTTTCATATCATGTGGTGATGCCATAAATGCGCCATTGTCATGACCATTGCCTTGGCGCCATGACTGCCGTTGTGCACCATGAAAACTATGATAAAACGAAGCCAACATTGGTTATGAAGAGTTCATTTGGTAACACTGGAATTGGCGTAATCAACTGATTATGCTGAAATTGATTAAGTTCTAGTGGGAGCGGTTGAATTGACTGAATTTGATGAATTATGAATAATTTATATTTAAAGTATCTTTTATTAATAAGATAAAGAAACAATATATGAAATTATAGCTAAAATGATCCTCTACAACGATTTCAACCAATTCAGCCAGGAAAGTAACTCCAATCTCACTTATTTTGATTAGTGCACAGTTCAGCGCGCGAAATCGAAAGTTGTGTGTTTGGTGAAAAAGTTGACTGATAAGACTGATTAGCCGAAAACACGAGTCATCAAATGGGCTCCAAGTATTGATCACTTTATAAAAGTGTAAACCTTCGAAACAAGCTCCAAGAAACCTTCACAAACGAGCATAACAGAACACACCAGCCCCAAAGATTTGCCCGAATTACTTTTAGGTGTAAGTTCTCGCAAAAAAACATGATTACAAGGTTTTGTGCCGATTTCCTTTGTGCCCCAACCTTCTAAGAGACTAAGAAGGAACACTCATGTGAATTTCAGCATCATTCAGGGAAAATATCATGAAACAGTGAAGAGTTGAGATGGTGATGGTGAAATAGTGCACATGGTTGCTATGTTCATGTCCAAATAGATCTTGTTAATGAACACACATATCTTGTATTATCCTGTAATATGATCAGCTTTGTGCTTCCACTGTTCTGTAAAATATGGTGGATTTCTATCATCACTCGTGCCTAGCATAAGATTCTTATTCTGTAATGATGGGTCCGCACGAATCCCTTTTCAATAGATGAATTTCACGCTGTAGTTTAGGGGTTTTACACCTTTCTTCTCCCATAATTCAATTCGGAGTTTAATAGTATGCTCATGAATGATCTTCACTGGTTGCAGGTTGGGTTTTCTGTTAATGGTCTCGTAATCCTGACATTTTTATGGGTTCTGAAGGCCTTTCTCGAGGTAATCATATCCTTTCCCATTTTATGTACTTGAATCTTTAATATGTGGATGTAAATCTTGTGATATCCAGAGATCGATCTACTTTAGGGCCGTCTTTAGTCGGCTGAAGATCAAAAAAACGTTAGTGTATTTTTTTCATGTAGTCAACTTGAAATTTCTTTCAGCCAGTCGTGTCACTCTTAAATTCCTAGAACTGCCTCTTGTGACATTCTACTTTTCATTGACAGCATCTGCCTTATTACTAAGGTTTCCTTATGTTATGTCAATCTTATTGGTTGCAGGTAATATGCACCCTTGGGAGTGTGGTATTTGCAAGTATCTTACTCATCCGTGGAACGTGGATGTGCATAATGTACTTGCAAGGCAGAAGCAATTACCGGATAGATGAGGGTGACGATGAACATAATGCATGGTCGGGAGCACAACCTGCCAACTAATTGCAACATGAGATCTTCTACTCCAAAGTTTATGTCCCCAAAAAACTTACATTTGTCCCTAGGAGATAGTCTTATTTGATTAAAACAAGTGAATTTTCATTATATTTTATGTATTTTTTCAAAAAAGCTTCACAGAAATGCTGCTTATGTTAAGTTGAGTTAAACCAACAATTAAGTTAAAAAATATATGTAAAGTTGATGATTTCCAATCATTGTTCCTTACTGAAATTAAAAGGTTGGACTGTTGGGAAACAACCTTTTTGGTGATGGAGCTAGTATTTTATATGGAGTATGATACTTTAAGGGTCCGTTTGTTATGATGTAAAGTAAACACTTTGTTTTAACTATTTAATGTAAACTGTAGGACACTTTTTTAAAAACACTTTACACTGTACCATGTAAAATACTTTACGTGGGGCCGTGGGGGAGGGTGGTAAACTAATTAACATTCATTAATTAATACAAAATCGTCCACCATATCACAACCTATCTTCTGTGTTGCGTTGCCCTGCACTCCATCTTGCAAGAGATATGTTTGTAGTTTATTTTAGTTGATCGGTTTGTTTTTTTCCATATTTTTTTGTGCTTGAACATTGAATTTGTGGAATTTAATTTTGAAAGTGATGATAAACCATGCTTCGACTTTATCTGAGTGGATGGGATAATATGCTCTGGTTTATCGTATATTATCTATCCGTAGTATATGAGTGTGTATGTATATAATATAATATGGAGTATTTCATGCAAGTGCTGGTACTCTGGTATGGTAGGATTGATTTTAGTTGTTGATTATTGCTCTAGGCGTATGAGTCGTATGACTCATCGTTCTGGTAGGGTTTGAGTTTTCTATATTGATCTGGCTGCTATGGATTTGCATATGCTGTTATATGGTCCGTTTGTTAATAGGGAATATTTTATTATTTTCCAAACAAACATTGTAAATAGTTTGCGTGTAATTTAAAAATAGATTACATAGATAGTCAAACGTTGTATTTTTATTTTACACGTAAACTAATTACAACCACACACTTTACGTGCAATCATTTTACATGTAAAGTTTTAATATGCAAAGTACCAAACGAGCCCTAAGTGTTGGGTTGTCCTCAGATGCAATTGCATATAATACTTTCAATTCACAGTTCACAATGATGAGTTCAATACACGTTGATGACAATCGAATGATCTGAATACTGTGACACTGGGTAAAACACAGTTTTGGAATAGAAGATATCATCCTATTAATAGCTCCAATGGAGAACAAGAATGAAGCATAAAAGAGATTAAAAAAAAAACATGTTCATGGCTTTCTCGGGCTTAAACAACCAATTTCACCTTGTGAATATCCCCTAAAGCCGGGCATACAAGGGGTTTGTTAGACTCCAACTGTGTCCATTCATCCAGATGCTTATAGATTGTCCTAGTTTCTGTAGCCAACATAATATATGCATATTTGCACATTCTTTTACAAACAGTAATGTTTTCCATTGTAAATTCATAATAATGATATTACCTGATTTTTTATTAATGACAATAAACCCTTTGGAGTGTAAGGTTGTTCACCAAATCTGGCAGTAAGTGATACTAGGACCTAGTGCCTAGTTTGAGGCTGAGCAGGGTTAATCAGAAGATAGATGGGTCAGAGTGGGGCCAAAGTGTTAACTAGAGGGGTCTAGGTAGGGATGGACATTGTCCTGGTTAGTGATTCCGGGCTGAGACTGGACAGTTTTTTGTCTCATGACCAAATTATAAATTTGGTCCAAAAACCGGCACCTGTAACAAGTATAGGGTTAGTTCGACTAGCATGAGATAGGCCCGTAACTGGTCAGTGCCGGTTCCATTTTTACTCAACTTTCGGCTGGAGTCGCGTAAAACAAGGATCGGTTATCCTGGTTCGAGTTATGGGCTCTTCTAAAATTGGAACATGAACCGGCCAGATCCAAACTGGAACTTGACCAGAACTGGCTCGAGTCCACCCGTAGTTGTAGGTCATTAGGCGGATTTTTAGAATAGAGTCCGAGAAGTTAACTAGTGTTATTCTAACAATCAACTAGAAATCAGGTACAACTAACTGACCAAAGGTTGACTATAAGACATCCAGAGTCATTAATTGTTGCCTTGTTGACTGGGTAAATAAATGCATATTGATCCCATCTGCAGACTGTTGGAATTTACATTCTACGTTATGGATTTGCATTTTAATATATGATTGACTTTCTTGTTTCGTCAGATCTTTTATTTAAGCAATGACACTTTTTACTACTTCCTAGTTCCAACAAAACTGCTCCTTTATTCATTTTACACACTATAAGTTAAACATCTGGCTCTTATTTTCTGCATGAAGCTAATGTCTTAAATCTTGACATGTTTGATAATCTCTTTTTATCTTAAACTGCTCTGCACTGCCTTTCTGCGTTCACACTGCCTGCCTAGCCAGTATCCTTTCCTATATTGCCAACTTTATATTTTCATAGAAGGAGAAACAGAGAAGGGTTCTCAGAAATGCAGAGAAGTTTGAAACTTGATGTTGAGACGGGACATGATGATTCGAAACACGATGAAGATGGTTGGATGAAGAGAACTGGTATATATGTATATTTTTCTCGAGTTCTTCAAACCCCATATTCTTTGGATCTTTTCCCTGAACTAATGTGGCATGCATTGTGTTGTGTAGGAAACATAGTGACAGCAAGCGCTCACATCATTACAGCAATCATCGGGTCGGGAGTGCTGTATCTTGCATGGGCGATTGCACAGTTGAGATCGGTGGCCGGGCCGATTGCCATGCTGGCATTCACAGCCATCACACTCTACACATCCCTTTTGCTAGCTGACTGTTGCCGTTCACTGGATGGTAAAAGAAACTACATTTACATGGATGCTGTTAGAACTCATCTAGGTAACCTCACCTACCCTACCTCTATTACTACACACCTTACCCTTAACATTCAAGTGACAGTGCAAGAAAACATACTTTGGGCTGGAATCACAAACTGTAATGTATGGGAGGACAAATGAAAGTTAAAGCATAATACACACACATATTGATAGTTAGAAAAAATACTCATTATGAGGTGGCATGTTTTTACGAAGTTGTGCCATGGGATTTTTCATAGGGGATAATATTTATTTCATTGCTGAGTTATTTATTTATAATTATGTGCTCATTTCTATATTCACACAGGCGGCATGAAAGTCAAACTTTGAGGGTTAGCTCAGTATATGACTCTAATTGGCATCAGTATAAGCATAACACAATTATGACTCATCTGTACATTTGTCTTTTTTTTTGTAACTCCAAACCATCTGTGATCTGTCTCTTAAATTACAATGAACAATTTATGCAATATGCGTTCAGATATTATTCTAATAATTGAATTGTTTTTTTTCTCTCTACTAAAATTGGACTGTATTGGGTTTTTCCTGTAATAATATTACTAAAATAGAATTCATGCACAAAAGTATGACTACATGGTCTTTGTAGTTACTGCCAAAATATCACGTTGATCAGACATCACCATTTTTACCTGTCATTGCGAAATCGGCTATGGTTACTGTGTATTAAAAGTCACAATTGTACATTATTTTTTATTTCAGTCATATATGTCATCATTTGTGGACTTATAGCAATAAATATATAGAGTAATTAACAAGAATAATATTATTAAAGAAGAATATTATAAGTGAAGCATAAGAAATCTCAAGTTTGGTTGCATTTAGGGCCATTGCAAGGATTTATTGTTACCACAAGCATGGCCGTGGCAATGAGAGTTGCAGTCCATCAAACTCGATCGAACTTCATACTTATGTTTGAAGCAGTGCAAGTTCTACTAAGCGTCTAAGCCAAATTCCAAATTTTCATCAACTCTCGTTTCTCTCCGTAATTGCTGCCCTCATGTCCATTGCCTACTCTTCTATTGGGCTCGCTCTCTCTGCTGCTAAAATCGCAAGTAATGCTAATATACTTGTATTTATACATGAAAGTTAATTCTACAAAGCCATACATACACAACAACAACAACAACATCAAGCCATACATATATGCTTTGTAAATTACAATTTCATTGTATTATACTACCTCCGTTCGTTATTAATTGCAACAGTTTGACTTTCACGTTTGCCAATGTACAACTTTAAATATATTATATTTAACTACGTATTCATAAACATTATAAGAAGTTAATATTTTGGAAATTTACATTAATAGAAACTTAACAATATTTTATACATAATTTGATTATATATAGATATATATAAGTAGAAAATCATTGTCAAAATAAGGTGTGTGAATAGTGCAAAAATCCCAATGTTGCAACTAATAAAGGACGGAGGAAGTATGATTTTAATTATTTTGGTTACCAAAACAAAGGATGACACCCCATATCTGAGGGTCCCCAAGAACTGACCGTATAGTTATGTGGGAGTATAATTATTTTGGTTACCAAGCAATAGTTTATGGGGAGAAGATTTTTTGTATAGGTGGAACAATGGAAATACTAGCTGACTAGCATAACAGGAAGTCCTGTAGGAGTGAACAATTCAATGACAGATAAGCTGTTCAGTACTTTTTTGCCTTGGGAAACATCGCTTTAGCCTTTGCTTTCTCTTTTGTTCTCATTGAACAAGAGAGAAATTTCTAGCTAAACCTGCCCACAGTATTAGCCTTGTCATTAATTCGATTATTATTCACTTCATCGAATCACTGCTCAAAATGAAGCAATCAAAAGGACCCAAAAAATTTCGGCTGGCCATGAAAAAGTTGGATCGACGGAATGAGCTTGGTTATACATTCTCTAACACCTTACAAGATAAGCAATAGAGGAAGGTTGGCCCGAAAACTCTTAGACGACACGGATGAAAAAGAAGAGTATGAACTTCATTCAGAGATGGAGGAAGTAATTAATCCATCCATCCAGTTTGATGTCAGACAAGTGTTAATAATATTCTGCAGGACACACTGAAATCATCCTTCAAAGAGAAGCAAGTGATGGGAACAAGCCTCCACCATTGGAATCATGGACCCTTGGCTACATAGCATTCGGAAACAGAGCGCCTGGAAACATAATGACGGATGATCACAGTTTGTACAACCCGTACTGGCTCATCATCCTCGCCAACCTATTTCTGAGCAACTGATCATACACCTAGTTGGGGCTTACCAGGTGTTCACACAGCCAGTGTTTGCACTTATTGAGTCTTGGACCATGACAAGGTGGCCCCACGGGAGAACATGTTGTTCATATCCCGCTTGTAGGCCTAAGTATTAGGTTTAGTGTGTTTAGGATGGTTTGGAGGACATCATATGTTGTGCTTACAAGTGTGGTGGCGATGATATTTCCTTTTTTCAACGCTATTCTTGGTCTTCTTGGAGCTATCACGTTCTGGCCCCTCACCCTATATTTCCCGGTAGAGATGTACATTGCTCAGGATTTCTGAGATTCTCCTTTACATGGATTTGGTTGCAGGTACTGAGTTTCTTCTGCTTGGCCATCTCAGTTCTTGCCGGATCCGTTCGCAATCTGACCAAATCTGTCATGCACTTTAAGCCATTTGAATAGAATTTAGGGAAAATGAAAATTAATAATCCTACCTTTGCACCACATCTTCATTCGCTGGTCCCTGACCGGTTGATGACCTGTTATTTCAGGTTTTTTCAGTTTCTTTGCAAATCATTCAACAATAGATCCCACAGTTCACAAATCTTCTCCATGTGGTCCCACATATCATTTTTCGTTTTTCTTCCTAAAACTTTTCTTTTTTTATTTTTATCGTTTTGACTCTTTTTTTCCTCTTTTTGGTCTTCTTATTCTTATTTTTATTACTTTTCAATTTCTTTCAATGTTTATGTATTCCATGTTTCCTTCTTTTTCTTCTTCTCGTTTATTATTTCATTTTCATTTTATATATTCCTTCAGATTAGTTTCCTTATAAAAGATCTTTTTCTCACTGTACTAACATTTTTACTTTATTTTCTTTTTACTTACACTTATTTATTTCCCTTTTCCTTTTCTTACCTCTATTCTACCACTAATATATATTTGAAATATAAACTAGAATAATATTTAAGATGGAGAGAATGATGTTCTGTGTATTTCATTGGAGGGTTAAGTCCCTATAAATATACATTACAAAGATAGAATATTCCTATAAGATTCTATACAATAATAATATCCTAGAGTATATTCCTAAAATATTCTAAAGTATATTCTAAGGATAGAAGAATATTCTAAAGTATATTCTAAAGTATATTCTAATGTCTTTCACACTCCCCCTCAAGTTGGAGCATAGATATTTATCATGCCCAACTTGTTACATAAATAACCAACACGAATTCCATTTAATGCTTTAGTGAACAAATCTCCAAGTTGCTCTCCAGTCTTCACATATCCTGTAGAGATCAATCCTTGTTGTATCTTTTCTCGAACAAAGTGACAATCGACCTCAATATGTTTTGTTCTCTCATGAAACACTGGGTTGTTGGCAATGTGTATAGCAGCTTGATTATCACACCAGAGTTTAGCAGGCATTGGTGTCTTCAATCCGATTTCACTCAGCAAATGGTTTATCCAGATTATCTCACATGCCGATTGTGCCATAGCCCGATATTCTGATTCAGCACTCGAACGAGAAACCACATTTTGCTTCTTACTTTTCCAAGAGACGAGATTACCACCAACAAAGATGCAATAGCCAGATGTGGATCTCCTATCATCTTTAGATCCAGCCCAATCAGCATCTGCAAAACATTCTATTCTCATGTGATCATGATTTTGGTAAACAATACCTCGTCCTGGTGTCCCCTTCAAGTAACATAATATATGCTCTACTGCATTCCAATGATCAACTGTCGGAGATGACATATATTGACTCACTACGCTCACAGAGTAAGCAATGTCTGGACGAGTGACTGCGAGATAGTTAAGCTTTCCAACCAATCTTCTGTACCTTTCTGGGTCTTCGAATGGTATGCCTTCTGAAGTGAGTTTCACATTGGGAACCATGGGAGTTGTGTTTGGATTTGCTCCCAATTTCCCTGTTTCAGTTAGTAAATCAAGTACATATTTACGCTGAGATAGAAATATGCCTTTCTTACTCCGTGTTACCTCAATACCCAGAAAGTATTTCAATGAGCCTAGGTCTTTTGTTTGGAATTGGCTATGAAGAAAATTCTTAAGGGCCAAAATACCTGCGGTATCACTTCCTGTAATCACAATATCATCGACATACACCACAAGCAATGTGATACCTGCTTTCGTTTTTCTGTAAAAGACAGAGTGATCTGATTGACCTTTTATCATTCCAAACCGTTCAATGGATTGACTGAATTTCCCAAACCATGCACGAGGACTCTGTTTCAGACCATAAAGAGATTTGCGAAGTCGACAAACTTTCCCATACTCCCCCTGAGCAACAAATCCTGGAGGTTGCTCCATATAAACTTCCTCCTGAAGGTCACCATGTAAGAATGCATTTTTAATGTCCAACTGGTGTAAGTGCCAATCATGAGTTGCAGCGAGTGAGATAAGTAACCTGACAGATGTTAATTTAGCAACAGGAGAAAAAGTGTCAGAATAATCAACACCATAGGTTTGAGCATAACCCTTTGCAACCAATCGAGCTTTCAATCGAGCAACAGATCCATCTGGATTAACCTTAACAGCAAAGACCCACTTACATCCAATAGACTTCTTCCCTGAAGGCAAGTATACCAAATCCCAAGTACCATTCAGATCCAAAGCATTCATTTCCTCTACCATGGCATGACGCCATTCAGGATGAGACAAAGCTTCTTTAACAGATTTGGGAACAGAAATAGAATCAATGGAAGCAACAAAAGAACATGAGGCAGGAGATAACTGACTGTATGACACAAATGAGGAAATAGGATGAGTACAAGACCGTGTACCTTTACGTAGTGCTATCGGGAGGTCAAGATCAGATGTAGAGACAAGATCTGAAGATGCAGGTACTGGTTCAGGACATGAGATCGAAGTCGGACCAGTATCAGGATATGTAATCACAGGTGTCACAGGTGGGGAGTGATCTTGTGCTTTGTGTCGACGGGTGTAAACCAAGTGCACAGGAGGTCTAGGGTCAGGAACAGTGACATTCGACATAGTTACTGAAGGTGTGGTCTCAGGTATAGTAACTGTGTAAATGAGTATTTCATCGTTGTCCTCATGAATATCTGTCTTGGATGATGAAAATGGTGTATTTTCATGAAATGAGACATCAATAGAAATAAGATATCGACCTGTACTTGGACAAAAACATCTATACCCCTTTTGAACTCGAGAATAACCCAAGAAAATACATTTCAATGACTTGGGGTCCAATTTCGTCCGATGAGGGTTAACATCTCTAACAAAACAAGTGCAACCAAATATTTTAGGTGGAATAGGAAAAAGTTCTTTATTTGGAAAAAGACATTGATAAGGAGTTTTACCATCCAAAACAGAAGATGGCATACGATTGATCAAAAAACATGAAGTAGACACAGCGTCAGCCCAAAACTGTTTAGGCACATTCATTTGGAATAGAAGAGCCCTTGCAGTTTCTAACAGATGTCGATTCTTTCTTTCAGCAACTCCATTTTGAGGAGGTGTGTCTACGCATGAAGTTTGATGAATAATGCCATGTTGAAGCATAAAAGATTTAAATGGAGTAGATAAATATTCTTGGGCATTGTCTCCCCTTAACACACGAACAGGAACATTAAATTGAGTTTTAATTTCAGCACAAAATGCAGAGAAATGAGTAAATAACTCGGATCGGCGCTTCATAAAATACACCCATGTCATACGAGAATAATCGTCAACAAAAGTGACAAAATATTTGAAACCAGGTTTGGACACAACTGGACATGCCCCCCAAACATCAGTATGGACAAGATCAAACGGAGCATTTGCTCGTTTATTAAGTCGGGGACTTAAACTAGTGCGATGATGTTTAGCAAACTCACACGACTCACATTGTATAGAAGACACCTTATTAAACTGAGGATATAATTGCTTCATTAGTGAGAGAGATGGATGTCCTAATCGGTAATGAGCTTCTAATAGATTTCCAACCCCAAGGCAAGAGATACCTTTTGTAATTGATGTATCCAAAATATAAAGACCACCCGACTCATGTCCTTGACCAATAGTATGCTTCGTTAACAGATCCTGAAACACACAATATCCCGGAAAAAATGTTACAGAACAATTAAGAGTACGTGTGATTTTACTGATGGAAAGCAGATTAAATGCAAAATTAGGAAGACTCAAAACAGACGATAATGGTAATGTAGAAGTTGGTACAACAGTACCAGATCCAAGAACGGGTGAGGTAGACCCGTCTGCTAAAGTGACACTGGAAGCAGGTAAATGTGAGTGAAATGATGAGAATAGACTAGGATTACCAGTCATATGATCTGTGGCACCTGAGTCAATGACCCATTTTGAGGATGATGAAACAAGACATGTGTTTGAAATACCTGAATTTGCGACTATCGAGATAGGGGTAGATGAATGCTTTAGAGATTCTTGGTAGCAAATAAATTTAGCATACTCGTCTGAAGAAATAGCAACTGATCCATCAGATGAGGTGGTAGCGGAAGTAACATGAGCGATCAAATTTCCTTGATTTTTGAATGCCAACTTTCTACAATCTTTGAGCAAGTGTCCAGACTTCTTGCAGTAATTGCATATTACTCTGTCAAATTGACCTGTACGAAACATTTTTTCTTTTTTTTTTTTTTTTTTTCTTTTTTTTTCTTTTTCTTTTTTTTTTTCTTTTTTTTTTTTTTGGTTAAAATAAAATTGAGATATTCATTAAACAAGTAAAAAGAGCTGAGCTTACGGCAACTTTCCCGTTTATGGGCTTGGGGAGAATAAAATACGCAGTGAGCTTTGGCTAATGTTGACTCCAAACTTAAATCCAAGGCAGATGCGCAGATCTGGGGTAGAGGACTCTCAGGCGAGCCTGTTGAAACCGATCAAATCTCCGGCCAGAAAAGTGGTGTTACGAGCCGGCGCGTGCGGCATCTGCGACTATCTTCAGAGGTGCGTGAGTATTAAGGGCTTTAATTTGGAACTGCAGAGTTTGAACACCTGAGTGTCGATGGCATGCGCACCAGAGTTTGGACTGTACTGAGAGGTTCTGAAAGGTTCTGAATAGAGGTTCTGTAGAGGATCTGTCTTGAAGATAGAACGATGCCTAGAGGTTCTGAAGAATCTGAAAACAACTGAAATCCCTGAAGAAGGTTCTGAATAATTTGAAGACTGAACTCAGATTCTTGAAGAAAGAAACCAGTCTGAAAATTAAACTGAAATCTGAAAAACTAAACTAAAATGGAAGGCTCTGATACCATGTTGAAATATAAACTAGAATAATATTTAAGATGGAGAGAATGATGTTCTGTGTATTTCATTGGAGGGTTAAGTCCCTATAAATATACATTACAAAGATAGAATATTCCTATAAGATTCTATACAATAATAATATCCTAGAGTATATTCCTAAAATATTCTAAAGTATATTCTAAGGATAGAAGAATATTCTAAAGTATATTCTAAAGTATATTCTAATGTCTTTCACACCATGTTTCCTTCTTTTTCTTCTTCTCGTTTATTATTTCATTTTCATTTTATATATTCCTTCAGATTAGTTTCCTTATAAAAGATCTTTTTCTCACTGTACTAACATTTTTACTTTATTTTCTTTTTACTTACACTTATTTATTTCCCTTTTCCTTTTCTTACCTCTATTCTACCACTAATATATATTTGACAAACTTCCCAGTCTCATATAATTGGATCTGATATTAGTCGAAAATAAGTTCAAGTAAAAGCATCGTATAATCAAGCTAAGAATGGTTGAGATATAACCGTAATGATGGAGTGTGTATTTATTTAAGACGGAGTATATTAAAATCAATGTATATACTCCCTAAATAGGAGTATATGTTGATAATTAGATGAGACAAAATACTCTAAAAAGGAGTAAATAAAATTAAATTGTTAAAACAGAAGTAAAGTTTACATTTTTCCTAAATAGGAGTTATTATATGGAGTATATATATAGTTGCAGGAAGAAAATAACCCTTGGAGCATGGTCAGCCATATTGTCGCAGGCTCGCAGCCAGACCCCTGGCCACAGGCTCCACCGCAGATCTCTACTGGAGCTCACCCGTCACTGTCGGACGACTCGGACCGCCCTCCACCAACTAACTGACTTTGATTATGTAAGCAATTAGAGGACAATTATTTAGAGCAGAAGTCCTGTTTAGGAATTTAAGCAACACTTGCTCAAATTTACATCAATAATAATAACTGCAATTAGTAAGGCCTCTCTCCAATATAATTGCCCGGAGGATAATAATTACACGTGATGAAGGTGGCAGACGTGTTTTCCAGCTTGTTCTTGTTGCACAGAGCCTTAGCGCATCCCACAAACCTCGTCTTCTGCCAAACCACCTGAGTGTAATGTCCGCACATCTGCCCACCCGCGCAAGCATTTTGATTGTAGCTGTAGTATTTCTTCTCATCCACCCACATCTTCACCGCCTCCTCCGGGCTCATCTCGCCGCTGCACCAAGCCAGGTTCTCGCCGTAAATGTCGCTGCCGGAGTGGACAAGCTCGGAGCAGTCCACTCCGGGTCGGGACATTTTCCGAGCGTACTCTTCCGCGTAGGCCGCCACAGTCGCGTTCCATTTTAGTTTCCCGAGTGGGCCCCGTCCGCCGCTAAAGCGCTTGTTCACGTTATAGCGAGCGGTGTTGTGGGGTTTGAGGAAGTGCTCGCGGAACTCCGAGCTACTGCTCGGAGCAGCTGCATTTCCGGCCACCACATTTGTCCCCGACACCACTACTAGGACCAGTGTGAATAATGGTAGTGCAAAGAAACCTGCAGATATGGACATTTTTCTGATCGAATGCAAATGTATATACTCCTATATATGGAGTATGTAATTTTCCTTCATAAATAAATATATATAGTTCAGGACGAAGTACTGTGCTGCAATAACGCTAACCCCGGCGCATATCAAGGCACCCACCCCAAGCAAAGTCTTCTCTTTATTTATTGGAGTATCCAAACGAATAAAATCCATTAATACTTGTGCATGTGCTCGTAGTATATATATGACCTAGTCACTATAATAAGGAGTAATAATAAATGATAACTATTAATAAATGGTGCTCCTTAATTATATATAGGCACTCAAATACAAAGGATAACTATTACAATTTGAATTGCAGATATCTAATCCTATATACTTCGTATTCTCTAAATAACAGATAGCTTAACAAACTGATAAGATTAGTTCAAAATTCAAATAATCTGAATTTAATGTAATTCTAATTATTCTCTAACAGTCGCTACTTCTAAAAAAGTTTCTCCTATTGACTTTTCTTAATCTTGACGAACTTTTTGTGAACGGATGACGCATCATTTACGAGGAAGATTTGATACTTGGGGATGGTTGGATTTAGTCTGGTTCAAAGAGAGCATTTAGATCATGAGACCAAACACAAATTTTTGGCGACACTGAGCTAAAGAGTGTTGGCTTTGTGATAGAGATTCAAATACTCATTTTTTTCATAATGCTGTCCAGAAACGCCGGAGGAGTAAAAAAATCTAAGGATTAAAACGGGAGAATGGTGTTTGGGAGAGTGACAGGGAGAGATGCTAGCTAGTATTATTGGTGATCATTTTTTTCTGGAATTTTTGGAAGTATCACACGTTGCCTGGATGATGATCATAATGCTCATTTACTGCGGCCTATTCGGAAGAGGAGGTCAATGAGGCTCTTTTCTTTATGTACTTGGATAAATCTCCAGATCTGGACATCATGAGCCCAGACTTTTTCCAGCACTTTTGGGATGCCACTGGACCGACTATTGTTGAGTTTGCACTTCTGTAGGTCGATTTTCTTGTCAGGTAGCTTCCAAAGGGTATTAATCACACTCATTTTGTTCTCATTCCCAAAAAAATCAACAAAAAAAACTGAGTGATTGGACGCCTATTGCTCTATGCAATGCGTTGTGTAAAGTTTTTGCAATGTTATTAACAACTCGCATGAAAGGCTTATTAAATATTTGTGTGTCTGAACAACAAAGTGCATTTATTCTGAGTAGGTTTATTGTTGACAACATTATGATTGCCTTTGAATCTCAAGCTTGTTTGAAACGTAAGCGAAAAGAGAAGACTGGTTATGCCGCGTTGGAGTTAGACGTGAGCAAAGATTATGACCGGGTGGAATGACTTTTCAAGAGGGCCTTCTTTGATAGATGGGCTTCACGGAGAAACGAGTTCAACTGGTCATGGAGTGTGTGAGCTCTATTACATATTCTATCCCCTTCGATAACGGAGAAATTGGGCTCATTTATCTTACAAGGGGATTGAGGCAAGGGGATCCTCTCTCTCCATATCTCTTTATATATTCTGGCGGTAGAGGATCTTGGTGCTCTTCACTGAAAGCAAGAGTAGTTGGGGCGCATTCATTGAGTTTCAGTGGGTAGGAGGGCTTCGAGGATATCACATCTTTTATTTGCCGATGACAATTTGCTATTCTTTCCGGCAAATCATAGTGAGGCGTCAACAATCAAAGAGACTTTGGAAGGTTATGAGCTGACTTTAGGTCAGGTTGTTAATTTTCATAAGTCTAAATTATTTTTTAGCGCCAATGTGTCTGAGGAGTGTAGGCTTGGCTTGACTTAGATGATCGAAGTTAATTTAGCTTCCCCTCACATTAATTCCTGAATACGCCACGTGCTCTTACCACTACTCCGTACTTTATAGTTATACTATTAGCCTATTACTTCGTACATATTACCATTTAGGGTGGGCATATAAAGGTTCAATAAAAGATGTTTGGTGTTTATTGCGCACTGAATGAAAATGGATGAATTTATGTGTTAATAGTCACTGTCGTCTTCGTCAATGGAGTGCCCAATATTTAGGCTATGTTTGGCGGACATAAGTCCCTGACTTCTAGCTTTTGTACTGTTCAAAAAGTTTCTAAAAACTTCTAGTTGTGTGTTTGGCATGACAATATTTAAGAGCTTTTCAAAAATTAAAAGATCTTTTTTGAGATGCTACCGGGAGTAGCATCTAAGAAAAGCTCGTGACTTTTAGTATAAATTAATCCTAACAGCTTGTATACCAAACCGAACTAAATCAAACAGTCAGCTTTTTATCAAACAGCTACCACTTTTTCTTTTTAAGATCTTTTCAGCCACTAAAAGCTAACAGCTATTAAAAAGCTCACAAAAGCATCTTTTCAGCTAGTTGTGCCAAACGTGTCCTTAGATTTCTTGAGAATTTTCAGTTTATGTATAAAAAACATATTTAACAGACGACTTGAAAAACGACATCAATAGCATATATGCACGTCATAACACAAGTGATGTGTTTTGACTTATTGCGTGTAGTATGATGACTTCAATTTTGAGCAAGCTAGCGTAGATAAGAAGATATCCGATCGGCAGATTGCAACTTGGATATGGAGCAAGCTATCATAGAAGAAAGCAGTAGGAGGTCTAAGAAAAAGGAAACATTGTGGCCGTTCTGATGCAGCAGTAAGCACTGTAACTTATTAAGATATATGCATTTTGATGGATGCTAAATTTGGAGAACAACATGAAGTGCATGGATAACTCAAGCGCATTATGATTATAAATACCGTATTCTTCATCTTTTCATCTGGCCCATTCTGTTTACAAAATTTGATAAACTTAATGCAATGTTCGTGATACGGCTGAAATGTGGACAACTGAAAGATCATGTACGAATTTAAAGAGATAAAGTTGCCATATAGAAAAAATAAGAACCATGAGCAACTCGGCAGCAACTTGTATTACTCTTAATGTCCAAAAAACCGATCCTGTCCTTTGTTAATTGTGTATCTTTAATCGTCGTCCAAGCTACAAATAAATCAGATAAAATGGATCTAGACTAAGCAACGCATATGACCTGATCACCTGAAATGTGAAAGTGGTCATAAGCTGGTCTAGTTCCATGTGTAGACTGTAGTGCCTCTAAATCATTTACAAACCACCTGAGTAGCCCCAATTACGGTTTGCCTGTTTTACAATTCTTTCGGCTTTCGAGCAACCCAAAAGAGGTTTAATTTATTAATTTTTTTATTGTAATTTCTGAGTTCCATTTTAATCTTAAGTCTTTACTTTTTTTGTCCTTACGAAAAAAGAATTTTTTGCTTTTCCTTCTTGGTATCTTTGATTGCATGAAAAGGGAAGGGGAACTGGGAAAGTATAATTAGAAATGTCAATAAAGGTCAGCCCAGACCTAGCTCAATAAAGCTAAGCCAAAGTAATGCTTAGCCATACTACGCATATTATTCAATGAATTAATAATGAATGAGTTAATAAAATATGCAAGCACAAATATCCAACCAATGACTAATGATTATGGTAAGGAGAAAACTAGCAGGGTAGGATACTAAAGTTTGCATATAAAAACCATCCCGTTGTAAGTTGTAATACTGGAAAGCTGGGCTGAATAGACCGGAGCGACACAGCACAGTGAAAAGTCCACCCGACATTTGAACAGGATAGAAAATACTTCGTATGAACACAGCAGGAAGTATATGCAAAGAGGTTTTCTTAAAATTGATGCTTGAGTTTTATACTTCCAATGCCTTCAATTTACCTCACTCAAAGCACAGTAGAAAAAAACATAGTAAAAAACACCATTAAATCGAACAAATAGGCAGGCCAGGATTGATTGAGCGAACCCTAACAAACTTTTGGGAAGGACTAAAACAAACTGGATAAGGCGAACTCCAACCCCCGTTGGAAACACACACCCATATACATGGGTCCAAAACATCACAACAAAACAAGTCAATCAACGCAAACATACATCTATGTTGACATGTAATTTATCAAACAATGGTGGGATTAAAGAACTCACAAAATATCAGGGGACAAAGTCAGCCGCAGAATAATCCTTCAAGCAAAATATTACGCACAGAAGACAAAGCAATCAAAGAACCGGGAGAACACCAGGCTCCAAAATGTCATCACAAGATGGGCAGCACCACAGCAGAAATGCAAAAGACACAGCTAAAATGCCCAGAAAATCAGCAGCCATACAAAAGGGAAAAATAAGAAGGCACAACAACCAAACTATAACAAAAAAATGAAACGCCCCAACCCTTTTCACACCCACCATAAATGGAAACCCAACAATCTGTCCATAGAAGCATAACACACCCCTGCACACCAAAATAGATAAACCCAGTAATATAGTTCCTCTATTTTCTCAAGCAACACATTTGACTTTTTGGAAATTAGAAACAAAAAACACAAAGAATTTTAAAATTTAGCAGCAGCAAAACACACAAGGGAAACACCCAAGAGACTGTAACTGAGGCAAAGAAAGCTCAAAGCAGCGAGAGCATGAAACGTACAGGAGTTCGGAAAGCACACCAAATCAACCAAAAAGGGAAAACGAATCTCACAATTCTTTTGCAAAAGGTCCGGGCATTATGTACAAAGGGGAAAACAGGTTCAAATTTCTTAAACAACAGGTCTAAGCATTTCATTTGAGAAGAAGAAAGGCGAGAGAAAAAAGAAATGCCAAAATCGAAACAAACTCGAGAGAACTTACAAGTTCTGAAAACCGACGCGAGAGCAACACAGGGAAGGAACGAACGAAGCTGAAACTGAATGGATGAAAGAAATGGAGAGAAATTACCTCACTTGTATGCAGGGGCGGAGTCAGACTTTAGTATGAGGGGGGCTAGAATATAATATATAGAGCATGAATTAAAATATAAATACGGAGTACAAAATATGAAAAAACATAGTCACACTAGATGATATGATATATTAATGTTTATTTATAATATTAAAACGTACAATGTTAATAAATAGCAAAAGCATTTAAATTTAGAACGCCTTTTAATGCATGTCATGAATCTCATAATTCAAAGGATTAGTACTTAATGAAAGATTAGTCTAAGATTTAAATCTTTTAGAATCTTTACTTTTAAAGAGTGCATGAATATCACATAAATAATTTATAGTCAAAACTAGTAAAAACTAAAAAACTTAGGTAAACACAATAGAGAATAGTCACATAACGACTTAATACTATTCACCAATGTTTTATATCATGTTAATTAATTGATAACAAGTTAACAAATTAACCAATTATTTCTCATAATATAAGGAAGAAAGTTCAGCTACCTAACTTGCATGTTTATAAATTATAATGTTAAAGGTCAAAAGAAGGAAGCATAAGACTTAAAATCCTTAGGTAGACTGAAGGACTGTATCACTGTATGTCTCCTTGTAATTTCTAACCTTTAAGCCCTCCACAACTTAGATAGCAACAGTGTGGTTTTGTTACTTAGGCTTTAAATTTGTCTCTAAAAAAGTAGGGCACGAGGAGATGTAAACCATAGTTTGGGCCAGTTTTTAAATTGCCCTTTTAATTAGGACTAATGTGCTGGATCTAAAATCAAGTTGCAAATGATGCACAATTGTTTATACAAGTACTAAGGATTTCTTCCCCAGGTTTTGAATAACAATATTTGGAGGGGGCCAAAAAAATTAACATACTACTACTAATTAAAAAACATAAAGTTGGGAGGGGCCATGGCCCCCTTAGCTATGAGAGTAGTTCCGCCCCTGCTTGTAAGAGACAAGCTTCTGTCCAACCCATCAGCACCTGTACCCTCCAATGAACAAGGACACACACATGACCTGACCACACTTTCACCAGGCTAACAAGCAACATCGAACCTCTAGGTAAGCGAACGAATGAAAACAAAGGGATTGTTCGCAGGGCTCTTTGGCGGGAAAACAAAGGGAGCCCCGTTTCGTTTTGGAGCCTGTTGTAACGGGCGTAGGACCAATCTGACGTCCTTCCACATTTTACATATATAAGAGATGCATATATATATATATACTATTGAAATTTGTCAAGAATGATGAAATAGGGAAAATGATAATTTTGGAGGACACAAACACCTACCTAAATCGAAACTAGCGACTCGAATTCACCTCAATCTTGTTCTTCCTCAATTTCCTCTTCTACTAACAAATATTTCAGAAATTAATACCTATTTATATCTAAGATTAAAGGAATGTAGTCATCAACAAATTCTCATACAGGTGTAAAAATGGCAAGCAACAATTAATTGAGCTATTGATTTGTACTTTATTAAAAGATTCAAGTACAAATATCCAACCAATGACTAACTATAATTCTTAATCATGAATTGTAAGATTGTTCATTTGATCACCAAGTACATGATGGTAGAAGTAGTTGCCATCGTCTTCATATCGGGGAAACTTCTTCTGGAAGAATTTATGTGACAAAAGCTTATGCGCAGTGGGCCTCTTTGTTGGATCCCATGCGAGGCATTGAATGACCATGCTCGTGAAAGTAGAGGAAAAAGGTGAGCTGCTGCTGAAAGAGAATTGAGGGAGCAACTTTCTGGCATAATGCTTCAAGAAATGTGTGCGCTCTGTTTCAATAGTTATTTGTTTGTGGCTGCGGTTGGTAGCAGGTGCGGGGAGTTTGTTGTTGTGGAGTATGTCCTTAAGCATGGCCTCCAGAGCATTCCGGTTTGGGAGTTGGAGGCCGCCATAGGCCAATTCCAAGGCAGTGATTCCCACCAGCCAAATGTCAGCCTTTTCTTCAGAATACAAGTGCTTATAATCACTATTATGGGAGGCCACTGCGACTTCTGGTGCAGCAGCCCACTGGGAGATGGAAGACATGGGTAATGAAGCAGAGCAGGTTGTCCCGGGGGCGGTTTCGTCCTCGTGGTAAAGGGTGGCAGCAAAACCCAACTTGAGGGGAGAGCAAGTGTGGAAGCGGCGAGGGGATGTGAGATAAACGTGGCCGGCGGTGATATCTCCGTGCGGGATGTGCTGCTGATGAAGGAAGTCAAGAGCATTCAGAATTGATCTGAGCACACAGAGAATGAGATCCTCCCGGCCCTGAAACCCGCCGCCGCGTTTTCTCATGATGTTCCTAACAGAGCCACAGTCGGGCATCAGGACAGCAGCGAAGTACTTGGAGTTCTTCCCGGCCTCATGAAAAGCGGCGCGGACAAGCGAATCATCCCGGATCCCTAACAAATTGGGGTGCCGGCTTTTGACGCCGCAGCTTCTTCTGACTTCATTCCTGAGCATTGAGATGGAGTGTGGATTATCAGCCACCTTGACAGCAAGCGGCTCATTCCACACCATTGTTCCGTGGCTTCTTCCTAAAGTCAACTCTTTGATTGTGGTTTCAACCACAGTAGCTTTGTACACCGTTAAGCCGGGTTTGCGGCCAATCGTGCCTTTGGCCACGTAAGCCTTTACGCGCGTAATCCCCGGCTGCGAAGTGCGAGATTCAAACAGCTTGAATTCTTCAGTGTTTGCTTCATACGTATGCGGGTTTCCACCCCCACCACACCGCCGCCGGGGAGAGGTAAATCCGACCTTGCGTGCACCGGGCTATGCTCATCATCATCATCCATCTTCGATCAATCGCTCGGATCCCTAGCTATTAAGGTTGGTAGGTAGGGATTTATTCAATTCAATTATTAATGATAAACGTGGCCTCTCACTCTATCTATATATATACACAATGTTTGACTTGTGTATCACGTATTACCTAAGCACGAGTTTGGTTTGGGACAGGTAGTTCGAGAGTCCTACGTAAGTACAACTGCTCAACATCAGATTTTGTTTCCAAAATAATCTTATTTCCGAGTTTTTTTTTTCTAAAAAAAAGCCAGACCAAAAACTATTTACAAAATTAGTATTGAGTTAATTATATTTACCAAATTACTACCGGATAGAACCATAATTAAAACACAAAGAGGCCGACTCAATTGAAAGCTGCAGTACGTAAAGACTAAGGGAGAGAAAGCTAAGTGGGACCCATAATTAGAAAATACGTAGTAATATCTTTGTTCTTTAAATGGTTATAACTTTTTTATTTTTGCTCCAATTTTAGTATAAAAAAATATACTAAAATTCATACTGCAGGTAGGTAGGGTTTTATTCAATTCAATTATTAATGATAAACGGTGTCTCTCACTCATCTGTATATATATACTAGTTATATGACGCGCGTTGCGCGAAAAGGAAATGCCCAACATAATCTCAAGTGAAAATAATATTAGGATAAGTGGTTGAGATTTATTAAGGGTACATAGCAGTAGTACAATAAAAATAATAAGCTTTTGTGTAAGTGCTGCTTATTGAAAATTCATTTTTGATTGGCCCGTAACTTTTTGTATAACTATCATCGAACCTTTTTGTATATTCAGCAAAAGTTTAAACAGAGAGCTTGAATTAAATGATTTGGATTTTGTACTATTATAAAAGCTTAGATATAATAAATTAGTTAGAGTTTAACTGATATAATGAAGAAATCAAAATTTAAACATACTATAACAGAATATTATATATACATAAGTTTTTTTCTTGAAATCCAAGTCCAAGTAAACTTGCACTATTGATGCATAGTAAAGGCTGACTACATGTCTACATACTATGCTTACAAACGGACTTGAGGATCACATATCAGTACTCAATTCTCATATCAGTACTCGAAGACTTTATTTATATTCCAAGAAACTGGGAAAGTTAATCCAAGCACATAAAAAACATGTTGACTTTAAGGAGGTATCATATTGAGTTATTGTCTAACACCATACGTCTATAATGCACCAGGTGAGTATAATTGAGTTAGACTCCACCAATACACCTAAAAGTATCAAGGAATGCAACATAAAAGTTAAAAAAGAAATAGTTTGTATTATAAATGATAAAACAAGCTTATAGAGTGGAGATTAAAGTCTTGGAAGTTGGAATAATGAAAACAATAAACTCTTCAATAATACTACCTCGGTCCCTTTTTATTTAGCCAACTTTGACTTTTCTAGTCAAAGATGATAAACTTTGATCCTTTATTTTCATTAATATATTTATGTAAAAGTTAATAAATTTATACTTTTATGATAGTATTTTCAACAAAGAATATTTTCATATTATCAATATTACCGTGTATAAATATATAATCGTAGTAAACTATTTTAAACAAAAGTTATTTATTGCACCGTATGAACTATTTTTTTTACTCCAGGGGGCATCTGGGGGAGGGGGGCTGGGGGAGCCTGGAGTAATCTAGGCTGAAACTCACTCCATTGAATTTCGAACCCAAGACCTCCCATAAGGGAGAGTGAGTCGGCGACCAGCTGGGCTGGACCGCTTCCCGTATGAACTATATAATACTATGCAACCTTATTCATTTAGACTCTTCTATATCATACAAAATCAAAACACTAAAAAGGGATAACCATTCGTGATGGAAATACATTACCTCTTTTCTATATAAGTTTATGAAAATAGTTGGTTCAAATATTATACTTCCTCCGTTCCAAAAAATACTTTTCACTTTCCTTTTTGGTCCGTTTCAACTTGTGTGGCTTACATTCATTTTACTTTTTTCCTACACAAATATAATCATACATTTCCACTTTATTCCACTTTCTTAGTAAGCGTGCCAATTCAACGTGGAAAGTATTTTTTAGAACGGAGGGAGTACTACGTATGAAAATATCTACAGATCTGAAATAAAGCTAACAACTAAAACCACTAAAAGTGTCTCCTAGACTTTTTTCAAACATATAGGCATATAGCAATCAAAATATAGTCTCAGTCGGTACAAATTAGATACACTGTAACCAGTATAGTCTCAGGGGTGATTCCCGCTCGTAAGACTGTGTCCTGGGTCTAGTTGGGCCAAAGCTCGGGGATAACGGGCCGATGGCACTGGGCCTGGCCCATTATCCCAACACGAAGAATGGTCCTTAATTAAAACATGTCAATTTAATAAAGAAGCGAATTATTAATAATTTCAAGTATATATCGACACAACATAGACACATATATGCAACATACATGTACATCTACAAACTTATAAGCACCAATGATGGTAAAGACATTTTACCATTGATAAAAATGTTGGTGTAACATTAAAGCATTATGCACTTGTACAATTTATTTTAGTTATTGTACCCTTCCATCCAGGGTCGTATCTAGCGTGGGGGCAGGGGGGCAGCTGCCCCCACTCAACCCCCACCTTACCCCATTATATATATATTAAATTTTATTGTGTACACATATCATTGTCTTATACTCCCTCCGGTTCTTTTTAAACTTCAGTGTTTGACTTCACAGTTATTAAGGAAATAAAGTTGACTTTACTGTAGAGTACACTGTTGAGACACTGTTTGGCACTGTTGAGACACTATTTGGCACTGTTTAACACTGTTTTGATGTAGATTTCTTTGTCAAATAAGGAAATAAGGAAGTGTGAAGTTTATTTTGGACCGTCCCGAAAAGGAAAGGGTGAAGTTTATTTAGAACCGGAGGGAGTATATAGTATAATAACGCCTAATGTCCACAATAAATAAAGCTAGCGTAGTAGCCAACTGGTTTCAGCCCTGCTTCTCCAAATGTTTGGCAAAGGTTCGATTCTCCCTAGCTCCACTGACTTTTTTTTTGCCCTTTTACAATTGTTTAAAATTTGTTCAAATCTAAAATTCCCATTAATTCTTTTAGTGTAGCTAAAAAGTGATACTATGTATGTCAACTCAAAATCATACTAGACGATTTATAAAAAAACTCAAAATGATACTCCGTACTAATTTTAATAACATCTGTTTATATATAAATTTGGTTTTGTACTTAATAAACTATATAATGTTTAAAACTAAGATCCATATATATTAGTTTAAAATAATTTATTTTAATATAATTTCAATCACACCTTTTCGCACTTAGTATTAAATCAGACTTGCTTATTTGTAACTTAAATTAGTTATAAACTTATAATTAAATATTTCATCCGTTTCCTAAAAAAGTTATTTTACTTTTAATACATTGTGGATTTTTTAATTAATATTTCTTTCCTAAAAATTGTGTGATAACGTTACTGTAAATTTGCCCCCACTGACCGAATTTTCTGGATACGCCACTGCTTCCATCATTAAATCTAAATTCCCCCTACCTCCGTTAACTCCAACTTTTGAGTTTTCGTTTTCATTATTCTTCTCATTTTAATTATTCTATGCAATTGATTGATTGGATTTCCATTTAGTGTTATAATTTACTTTTTACTCTTATAATTTACTTTTTACTTTATTATATATGTTACGTTATGCATTACTTCTAAAAAATACAATTTTATGTAAGGATGTTTTCTTTTGGACGGAAATTTGCTGGTCTGGTCTGATCTAGTCTTGTCTGGTCTGAACTGGTTTGGTAAATGTCTGGTATCTATGTATTTTATAACTACGGAAGTCAAGTCTGGTCTGGTATGATCTGGTCAGGTCAAGTCTGGTTTGGTTTGGTCTGATCTGGGACTGAAAACAGTCCAACAGAAAACAACATAAGTTATTATGAATGAAATGAGCAATATCCAAACCAAGCACTCCAACTAGCTAGCTGGTTGCGAGGTTACCATGCCTAGTGGGAGGTCTCGAGTTCGAATCCCGCTAGGCACACACAAGGGTTTGAAACTCAATGGAGTGAGTTTCAGCCTTGATTACTCCAGGCTCCCCCCAACCCCCCCCCAGACCCCCCTGGAGTAAAAAAAAATGAAATGAGCAATACCCATCAAGATTCATATCCTATCAGATTATTAAGATCGAATTAGATCTAACAGATCCATATCATATCAGATTATGAAAATACAATAAAAATTAGAAAATTTTATAATGATTTACTACTTGTTGTTGTTATTATTATTATTATTATTATTATTATTATTACTATTACTCTTATTCTTATTTTTTTTTAATATTATTATTATTATTGATAGTATTACTATTATTATTAAAATCTCTTATTTTAATCTTGTCAGAATAATGTTGGGCATTTCCCTCTCGCGCATCGCGCGTAATATAACTAGTACATTGATACATGTGTGTGACTGTGTGAGTTGGTGGGAGTGGGCAGAGCAGCCGGCCGGTCAAGGAAATTAAAACCAAATTAATTATATTAGACATAGATAAGTACGTTCATTATTAGGTCGGTAAATATTCCTCGACATTTATCCCATCAATCTAGATGGTTTCTTGAGTTTTAAAAAAAAAGTATAATTCATCAGGTGGCATGTATTTTTATTCAACGCCCCAGCACAGGATGAGATCGGAGCTAGGGGCCGGTTGGTATACTAGCTCCGATCGATCTGTAATTTTGTGTGTATATATTAGTAAGGCCTCTCGCCTTCGACATTGCCCGGAGGATAGTAGTTGCAAGTGATGAAGGTGGCGCGCCCGTTGCCGCACACAACCCTAGCGCATCCCAAATCCGTCGTCTTCTTCCAAACCACCTGAGTGTAATGCTGGCACTCCTGCCCGCCCACGCAAGAGTTGGACCCATGGTCGTAGTAATCCCGCTCACCCGCCCACATAATCACCGCATCCCTCCCGCTCATGAGGCAGCCACCGCCCGAAGCTATGTTTTCGCCATAAAGCGGGTTTCCGGAGTGCTCAAGGGCACAGTCCTTGGACCTTTCGAGAGCGTAGCTGCTGGCGAAGCGCGCCACTGTCTCATTCCATTTTAGGTTCCCCACGCCCCCGCGGAAGGCGTTGTGGGCGTTGACGAAGTCGTCATTAGTCGAATTTGTATAGTTGCACTCCGGATCCTCCGCCGCCGCCGATGCTACTACAACTATGACTGCTAATAATGCCGCCGCATAGGGAATTTTTGAGTGCCCCATTTTCTTACCTTATCATTTTTCATATACCCGCAATTGAAAATTACTCGTAAGAAACAGCAGGTTACTAGCTAGTATATCTAATCCGCAGCTGTTTATATAGGAATGCAAGCGGACAAAACCCGTGGCCGCATACTCAATTTTTCCTACTTCCCAATATTTAATTATATCTCTTTAAAAGTTAGGAAAAATTGATATTAACTATTGACGGTCCGCTCTTAATAATCACAATTATCGATTATTTCAGAATAATCACAACTTTAGGGATCTTCCGCCAATAATGGTCCGACGTCACCGGCTATAAATAAATTCCAATAGTTTTTAAAGTGGATGAGAAGAGATATAACAAGTAATCCCTATAAATAATCCCAACTTTTGATTTTTATGCCTAAAATTCACTTGTTATAGGAGGTAATATCTAGTCATGGTCCTCATGGACCATTATTGGCGGGAGGTCCATATAGTTGGGATTATACAAAGATAATCTTCCTTTTTTACAAAAATACTCAATAGTTGAGATTATTGTTAGTGGACTGGCAATAATTGGGATTATTATTTTCGCTTTTTCTCGAAATATGACTTATTTAGTTAGTGATATTAAAAGGAAGAAAAAACTAAGAATTTTCATGCAGATCCAATAGAAGTGTCGCATGAGTCATATTTACAGCCAAAATAATACTACGTAACCTATACGCTATTTTAGAGAATTTCCAATATTTTATTTATATTTAGGGAATTAAAATTCTATATTAATTAAGGTTATTAAACCTATACACTATTTTTTAAGGGCATCAAAGAAGAAAAATTGGTACATTTCAAAAAGAAAGTTCAAGTGAAATAAAAACTATGGGATTACGTTTAAGGATGGCATGGGATGTACTACGTATATTTTATTTTTAAATCAACAATGCTTCGTGTACACGTTATTGTACACACCAGTGAAATTGTTTGTATACAGAAAATTTGACTAACATTTTGTGAAGAAAATTTGTTTTCGCACGTATAATCTTTTTTCAGTATGAAATCGGATTTCTTCATAAAACGCCGTTCAAATTGTCAATACACACTTTAACTAACGTGTAAAATACGTGTATACTTTGTCATACGGATAACATTTTCGTTTATTTTCACATCAATGATTAGTACTGGAATAAAAAGGTAGTAGATATTTATTTCCAGTCAGAATGTAATTATTGTTGCTGCTTACTATAATGATGAGAATTTACTAATTTCTCCCTTTACTGCGTACTAACATACGTAAGTTGTGATGTGGCACTCATATGTCTCTTTTAAAACGATTTGTGTACACAGACAACTAAAGAATTTTGTGTACATTAAGAATTTTCCATAAAATAAACTCACTTGTTGTACTTATTTACTCTCTTATGCACATACACATGAGTTTACATTATGAACAAACTATTCACAAACAAAAAATAATTCATTTACATACTCGGTATATGCAAAGTAAACTATACTTACTCCGTATAAAGAAATTGCATCTTCAAAAAAAAGTATAAAGAAATTGTGTACAAATAGTTTTTCCAAAAAAGGGAACCCCGAATCCGTCTTTAAACCGCAGCACGAGAAGCAATAATATGCCAACAAATTTCAACCATATAAGCCGTGAAAAATCTTCAGTTTCGCAACTGGAAAAGCCCTAATCTCCGCTCAACTTTGTTTGTAAAATTTCCAAACATTGGATATCGTCCCGACCTTCTTCCGCTGTCACCGGAGCATATGTTCTCAAAGATATCATTCCCTGGGAGCAAATATAGGAGTAGTTGTTTGATATTTCCAAAAAGGAGCTTTAGTTTTTAATTAGACAACAATACCCCCACTCCTGCCGCAAGCTGCTACAATACGGTGCTATAGTGCCGCCGCTATAGTGCCGCCGGTGCTCCGGCGAAGCCAAAAAATCCAGTTTTATTCGCTGCCAGTCTACTTGCCTACCCGCCACCAATGGACTACCCCAATTACCCAAGAGAACTAGGTGCAATTAATTATATGAATTAATTAGATTAGGGTCGTTAGGGGTAGAAAATTAATATTTACTCCTATTTAAGGATGATTAGAGTTGGACTCATATTTAGAGAAAAATTATACTTCCTCTGTCCCGTAATTAAGTTCACAGTTTGACTTCACACAGATTAAGAAAATAAATTTGACTTTACTGTGAACTGCACTGTTTTGCATTGTTTAAACACTGTTTGACACTGTTTGGACACTGTTTGGCACTGTTTGACGCTTTTTTGATGTAGATTATTTGCCAAATAAGGAAAGTTTTGAAGTATGAAGTTAATTTTGGGACTGCCCGAAAAAGAAAATGAGAAGTTAATTTTGGGACGGAGGGAGTATGTTTACTCCTCCGTACAATACTTCCTATTAAAGACAAATACTCATTTTCAAAATGGAATCAGCCAATCAGGGGCGAATTCGGAAAGTTTAGCCATTGGAGCACCTATTAATAAGAAAAAGTGGAACAAAATTCAAAGTAACAAATATTCTTTCACGTCACACTTGAAGGTTATCTCATGATGTACGATGTACGTTTGACTAATCATAAAATTACATGACTCGTTTTATTAATAAAATTATTTTTAATAAATAAGATTTACATATTCAAAAATTATATGTTAAAAGTTTGATAAAAGTTGGGTATATATAGTAAAAGATTTTTTTTTGGTCAATTCTTTCTAACCTATATAGTATCTGCTCAATGTTAATGCCAACATTCTTGAACTGGGATGAGATTCGAACCTGTGACCTCCTCCTTGGGAGTGCCACAGTGATGCCATCAGACCACAAGGTACTTGGCTAGTAAAAGATTAAAAACAATTTATATTAACCAAAAAATAGTGGACAAAAACCTTTATATAGCACGGATATTTAGTATAAATTAACTCCAAACACAAAGGAAAATTTTGAAAAGTGACACCAATTTTACTTATTTTAATTATTATACAATTTAGCAATTAAAAACTATGTGTATTAAATTAATAGATGACTAATAAGATGGCCATATAAGGGGAAAACGTAGGTCATCAAATAGGCTCTTTAACCGTTTGAGTTATATATTCATTAATCATTACTCACCAAGTAGGAGTTGGATCGTTCATTTGAGAAGGAAAAAAAAAAAGATGAATTGAATATTGAACTCAATGAACAAATATTGAACTTGATTTGTATAGTGGAGACTATTTCCTACGTAAAATACTTGTTACGGAGTAGTTATTATTACATTAATTTTGCTACATTCATAATTGAATTAGACATGTCCAAAATGTCCAATTGGAGTTTTGTTCACCCCTCCAAAGAGGGTGACCATACCACCACCCCCTTTGGCCTTTGCTCTATGAGTGGAGTTTCATCCCCTTTTTTCTTGAAAATGTTATAATGTTTTTATTTATTGTCTAATTTTTATAAAAAAAACATATCCGAGTTTTAAATTTTATGATATTTCCAATGGTATCAATATTGTATATACAAAAAAAATTGAAAAAAAATACATTTTTTCTAAATATCTATTTTTAGTTGATTACTTGTGTGAAAGAATACTTTATCATAAATGTTTACGTGGCATAGTTTGTTAGTCTAAATAGATTAGTCTGTTAATTAGTCGGTTAGATCTAACTAAAGACTAGCAGCCACTAAACTACTTGTATAAATACACTGTTTGTTATCCATTTCAGACTTAAGGTCTTGGAAATACAGTTCATGAAATTTCTTCTACTTTCTTGTGTGATTATACTCTGTTCTTCACCATCGTTGTTATGCTGAAATATGCTCTACGATGGAGGATGAATCAATTTCACATGGTATCAGAGCGGAGGAGTTCCTACCTTGACTGAAGCTTCGTATTTCTTCTTCACTTTAGCTGATTCGCTACAGTATTTCACCTACAGTATTCTCCGATTCAATTTTTTTGAGCTTCTAATCAATTTCTGCAGAATTCCTTCCAGGTTCTTCAAATAATCTCAAATTCCAGAAAGTAACGCTGAATCTAATATTCATTCAAACCATAGTTCTCAAAACTATGATTTTTTTGACGATCCTTTATTTCTTTCTTCCTCCGATCAACCTAATCTGAGACTTGTTGATAATATTTTTGATGGATCGAATTTCTTATCATGTAAACGAGATGTTTCTATGGCTCTTGCTTCTAAAAACAAAGATGGATTTATTGATGGAAGCTGCTCAATGCCTGGAAAAACAGATAAAAAGTATCATCAATGGATTCGATGTGATCTTATGGTAATGAAAAGGATACTCAACTCTATGGATAAAACTATCAAGGAGAATCTGATGTATTCTAATACATCAAAGGAACTATGATCTGAGATTTTGGAAAGATATGGTCAAACCAATGGCTTAGAAATATATCAGCTCAAAAAGGAGATCAGTAATCTGACTCAAGAAAATCAACCCCTGATTCACTACTACAACAACCTGAAAAGGAAATGGGAGGATGTTGATAGCCTTGATCCTATTCCAGATTGTACATGCGATGCTCTTAGCCTATGCACTTGTCAACTTCCGAAACGAATACTTGACAGAGAGTCACACTCCAAACTCATTCAACTGCTCATGGGGCTTAACTCTGGATATGAAAATATCAAAACCACAATTTTATCCATGGAACCGCTTCCGCAAATAAACAAAACTTTATCTCTTCTACAAAAGATTGAAAGACAAAAACAGATTAGTGATGCTCTTGACGTCCTTACAGAGGCAAATGCATATGCCTCCTCATCTGGAGAAGCCAATGTTCATGCTAGAGAAAGGAATTAGAATAGAGATGATTCAAGTTTTGCTGGAGCATCAGCCAAGAAATGTTCACACTGCTTTCAAAAGGGTCATATTAGAAAAGAATGTTTCAAACTAATGGAATGTTCATATTGTGAAAAAAGGGGCATAAGAGGGAACAGTGCTACAAACTGTATCCTGAAAAAAATCCCAGGAATACAGGGAAACTTCCAAAAAGGCTTAATTCTGGTAACAATGGATACGGAAAAGCTGCAAATGTTGATGT